CTTCTCCCAACTCCCTTTTGAGGCTGCTAGACCTCAGGCAAATTAATTATCCTCTCTTGGCTTCTGTTTCCTTCTCTTTGAAATGCAGAGTGACCCTACTCTTTCACGGGTTATTCTGAGAAGCAATTGAGCACGTGAAGCATTTAGCACCGTCCCTGTCACATAGTCAGCGCTAAGTAAATGGTAGCCATTATCATCTCACACAGCAGCTGAGGTGGGTCTGGTAGTCCAGGTGTTTGCTTATGTTCCGGGGGAAGAAAACCTAGACTAAATGTATCCTTTGGGCAGTTTATCTAAGAAGCTAGTTAAGAATGTGCTATTGTATTGCATCAAGGTTTTTACAGATGAAATAAACTGGTAACTCTTATCTATTTGCCTACCCTGTGCAGGCAGGAATTGGTGGTGGGTCTCACAAAGGAGCTGACCATGAACATTAGCCTAATTAACTCTGGGGAAGATTCCTACATGACAAGCATGGCTTTGAATTACCCCAGGAACTTACAGTTTAAGAGGATACAAAAGGTAACCATGACGGCAGTTTTGGAAACATGCTACTCCTGGTATTCCCTCCCTGCATTCCTGCTTTTTCATGGCAACCTCCTAACTGGTCTTCCTCCAGCCTCATCCTGGTCCATCCAATAAATGATTATTAACTAGATGAATCCCCTCCAATCCAACCACATGCCATGGATCCAATCATGCCATTCTCTGCCTTCAAAACCTTCAATGGTGCTGTTTTGCTACCCAATCACTCCTCCTTGCCTGCAGGCTTTCATAACCAGGGTGCTGAGAGAGAAATAATCTCTAATAAATTAGCTTAAACTGGGAAAGTAAGAGTGTGCCCTGCCATTCATCAGCTTGGGATCACAGATATAAAGCCAGCTGCAAGATAGTGGGAAACAATATTTCTCGCAAGAAACAATATTTCTCTTGCAGCTGTAAAGTATCATAACACTGAGAAATTTTGTTCTCTAAAATCAGAGGCAATCAGAAACTGCTGTCTGAAGTTATATCTGTAATTATGAAACCATCTCACTCTTGACTGGAGAATCTGAGTCACTTTGACAAAGAGAAGCAGTCTCAATTTCCATCTAAAGCACGGAGCTTCAGATAAAGCATTTCTGGACACAACTTTCCACATCCATCTTAACAGTTTCCAGGGAAATGGGGCCCTGGGTCCAGACCTGATATTGAGTGACCCTTTTACACACAGCCCTGCTTTATCAAAAAAGCCCTGTTGATCTGAGCCTATCAAAACACTGCTTCATTTACATTTCACCAGAACTCCATCCTAACCCAGAATCCTTTAATAACTCTGTCTTTTCTGGTGTTTGGGGAGACACACCACAGTGCATTGTAATGAGTCAGTAAACCTGGCTTTGTCAAACTACAGGTTTGTCCCTGGGGGTCTTAGGCTATTCGGGCTAGGACATCATCCACTATATGAAAAGAATGAAATTGTCTCCTAAGCATCTGGAATGGAACTAGTGGTGCACTATCCTTGGGAGAATTAAGAAAATAGTCACTCAAATCATTTTCTGTATTAGGGGTCCAGATGAGGAACCATGGTTGAGAAAGGCTGCATGGCAGTGCTTGGACTCACGCTGGCCTTCCAGCCCATCTCAGTAGGTTAAATTTGCAGTGGTCCCAGGCCCAGTTCAAATGTCCCCTTCCCCATGAAGACTTTACAGATTCCTCCTAGTTGAAATTCACCTTTTTCTCTGGACCTCTCTCACAGAACCACCCTTTAGGCCTTGTATTTAAATTCCTCAACCATCTACTACTGAGCCCTCCTGCCCAGCTTGTGAGGAAGACAGGTACCAGGTCTGATTGATTTGTGTCCCTAGCTCCTGGCAGGTGTCTGGCATATGGAAAATCAGTGAGTGTTTGTTTAACTGGTGTGAGGAAGCAGCTCCCTTTCTTGCTCTTTAAGAATGGGGTCTTCTTCTGTGTTAACAGCCTCCTTCTCCAAACATTCAGTGTGATGACCCTAAGCCGGCTGTTTCTGTCCTGGTCATGAACTGCAAGATCGGTCATCCTGTCCTCAAGAGGTCGTCTGTGAGTCTGTTTTGATGGGCGGACTCTTCTCTACCCTGGAGTTGGAGTCTTCTACTTCCCAGTTTCATCTGAATCTCTCAGTTGTGGTCTCCACACTTCCCCTTACTGTACAATCCATAGCAGTGCTTAGAACTGCCAAATTCGCTCTGAATGTAGGGAGCAATGGGGTGGGGGATACAGCCTAGGCAAACTGTTGGCTCACCCCGTACGGCAGAGTGAAGTTGGGGTTAGTATGGAAGGAGCATCAGGCCCAAAGTTATTAGTCCTGAGGTGAGTCCCTGCTCTGCCGCTGACGATCTGTGTGCTGTGAGAAATCTCTAAAGTGGTTTCCTCAGCTATAAAAAGGGAATAATGCTGTCTTCCCTGCTTACTTCATATTGACATTGTGAGCCTTACATGGAATAATGGATGTGGAAGCATGCTGTGCTACAAAACTGTGAGGAATATGAATTTTGTTTCCTAAGTCTGTTTAGTTAGCAGGAAGCAGTTTGAATTGTGAGTGGTATAGAGAGGAATCAAGTGACCTTTTTTTTTTTTTTAAATAGGCAAACTTTTCAGTAGTTTGGCAGCTAGAGGAGAATGCCTTTCCAAACAGGACAGCCGACATCACTGTGACAGTCACCAAGTAAGTAGTGCCTGTGTCACAGCAGGCCGAGGCTGTGGCCCTGGAAGAAATCTCCCTCCCACGTGCATGTGTAGGAGCTATGGCTCCCTCACTGCCCAGGAAGAAGAGGAACCTCAGTGAGCCCACAAAAGCACTGACTTGGCGTTCCCTTCTTGTTATCAAGGATATTTAAAACATTCTTTTATTGACACACAAAGTAAAACTATTGGTATTGTCTGATAGAATGAGCCTTGGACTGGAGTTCTGATTCTAGTTCATTTAACTTTGGAGAAGCTCTGTCATCTGCAAAACTTCTGTTTGGGGGTCGGGGGGTATGGTGTTGGCAAAGGGTTCCCAAACGGGGGCAACTCTGCCCCCCAGGGGCAATGCCTGGAGACATTTTTGATTGCCACAACTTGGGGGGCACTCCTGGGATCTAGTGGTTAGAGGTCAGGGATGCTGCTAAATATCATACAATATACAGAACAGCCTCTCACAAAGAATTATTTGGCCCCAAATTCCAATATTGTCGAAGTTGAGAAACGCTTTTAAAATCAATGTTTCTCTAAGACTTTTCTAGCAAGTATTCTGCACTCTTAATTGCTTATCTCCAAGAGTCTTTTTTTTTTTTTTTTGTGAGGAAGATCAGCCCTGAGCTAACATCCATGCTAATCCTCCTCTTTTTGCCAAGGAAGACTGGCTCTGAGCTAACATCTATTGCCAATCCTTCTCCTTTTTTTTCCCTAAAGCCCCAGTAGATAGTTGTATGTCATAGTTGCACATCCTTCTAGTTGCTGTACGTGGGACATGGCCTCAGCAGGGCCGGAGAAGCGGTGCATCGGTGCGCGCCCGGGATCCGAACCCGGGCCGCCAGTAGCAGAGCACGCGCACTTAACCACTAAGCCACAGGGCCGGCCCTCCAAGAGTCTTTTCTTATCTGACCCTCAATGACCCCTGGAAGCCAAGGCACAGAGGCAGCTGTGTGTACAAAGCAGGTGTGCTGTGAACTGATATTCTTATTTCCTAGTTCCAATGAAAGAAGGTCTTTAGTCAGAGAGACCCACAGCCTTCAATTCAGGCATGCCTTCATTGCAGTTCTTCCCAAGTAAGTACTTCCAAGGGGCCAATCCCTGCGGGACAGCTTCAGGCATCTCTCTTGTGCATGGAACTGGTGGTCAGGGTGGGTGTGGGCACTGCCCTTCCCTGAGAGGAGGCTGCTTAGAACCCAGGCTCCCACCGATCTCTAGGGCACTAACAGTTGAGTCCTGTTAGTAGTCAAAGGAGGAGCTGTGCCAACTGATCTTGCTACAAAAGGGTACTGACATGATGCTAAGGAGGGAAAAGAGACTGTGGGATTGGGAAGAAAGGAAGGAGAAAAGTAAGGCCACTCTGAGGAATGATAATTAGACACAGAACCAGCCCAGATATACAACAGTCAGATATTCCACCTGATCCCAACTGCCCTACCACCACTTTACATTTTGATCTTCAGCGTTGACTCCTTAAGGATCTGGGGCCCTCTGTCCTAGTGTATCCAGTTGGTAGCATTCAGGTTCATTTAAAATGAGGAGGGGGCCTTGAAGCCTAACACATGTCCTCTCAATTGCAGACCTTCAGTGATGTACGTGAACACAAGCCAGGGGCTTTCTGACCACAAAGAATTCCTCTTCAATGTAAGTGCTGAGTGCTTATCACTGCAAAGCCACAGGTGGCAAAGCAACACCAGCTTTGACTCCCCACTCTGATTTTATTTTGCAGATACATGGGGAAAATCGTTTTGGAGCCAAATTCCAGCTGCAAATTTGTGTTCCAATCAAATTACAAGGTCTCCAGCTTGTAACAGTGAAGAATGTGACAAAGACTCAGGTACTCAGAGGCTGTTTTTTACTCTGTAAAGATCACATCTTTTTCCAGAGTGACCATGGATTCTCAAAGGCATAAAAACTAGAGTTCTAGAAAAGGAGTAAAAACAAGATTAGCTAATGTGGGAACACTTTAGGAGTAAATTGCCAAAGACACATTCAGAAAAAAATATCAACCACTCAGCTTTTTTTTTTGTGAGGAAGATCAGGCCTGTGCTAACATCGGCCAATCCTCCTCTTTTTTTTTGTTGTTGAGGAAGACTGGCCCTGGGCTAACATCCGTGCCCATCTTCCTCCACTTTATATGGGACGCCGCCACAGCATGGCTTGCCAAGCGGTGCGTCGGTGCGCGCCCGAGATCCAAACCGGCGAACCCCGGGCCGCCACAGCAGCCGAGTGCGCGCGCTTACGCCACTGGGCCGGCCCCTCAACCACTCAGCTCTTAAAGCAACATTTCAATTTTCCTTCCCTTAATAAAAAATAAGCAAAAATTCAAACCTTTTTAGTAGCCAGGGAGACATTTATTTTCCCTTTGGAAATTGATAAATTCTGCTTCTCTTTGGGATTGGCAAATGAGCTTGATAAATGTGTGGCATATCTCGCACCTCTCCCTATAAATTGTATACCATCTTTCTTTCCTCTCTCTGTCCAGTCTGTCTGTCTTGGTCTCTGCTTTGCTAACAACCTCTTTGCTCTCAGTTGACTCCTCATCTGTAGCATGATTCCCAAAGCCAGCCTTCTGATACCTACAGCAACAGGCTCTCATCAGTATCACAGCTGAGGCCTTGGGCTTTCCTAGTCTTTTTTTCCTCAGGCTACATAAAGTGTTAGGGCTCAAAAATGAAAATACAGAAAGGAATTAACAGAATAGACTGACAGAAAGAGGGCTTATAAGTTGTCAGCACTTGTTCTCATGTATAGTTTATTTTTTAAGAATATTTCTTAAGTTTAAACGTTTCAACAGACATTTCAGTTTCCACTTGGAAATAAAATTCTTGTTTGAAAAGCTGATTGGAAACAGGTAAGAATGGGAATTCCACCTGCTCTGGGGATGGAGATTGGAACAGCACCAGGGGCTTCAAGACTAGTGCCTTCTCAGTCTGGGGCACTGAGGCACCTTTGGCTTACTGAAATAGACTGTGTTGGCAGAGCAGGTCAGTGGCAGAGCTGAAGTTCAGCATCGTCCTATGGAAATGCTGGATCTTTCTCCTCATTTGCTTCATGGCAGGGGTGTTACATTTAGTCTTGAAGGTCATTTGATTCAGAATCTTATCTGTGAGGTAATGCAGCCAGAGCACATTATTATAGGGGTGATACTCACCCCAGCAGTTGTTGTTCTCCTTCCTCATTAGCCTGTAGATCTCAAACTGGTAGTCACCTTCACCTGTAAATAGGTCCTCATCCATGGAAATGTCACAGAAAACCACGATCCCATCCCGCTCCAAGCGTGACAGGGTGTAGTCAATGATGTTGACTTGCAGCCCACGGGTGGGGATAGCACTTGTCTTCCCATTGAGGGTGTAATGGAGCTCTTTGAGGCTGGTTTTCTTTAAGAGCACGTTCCCCCAGTGTAAGTCTCGGTGCTCAAAGTGAAGGGAGGCCTCTGCCACTGCGAGGGATGCGGTGATCTGGTGTAGAATGCTCTTCGCAGTAGCGAAGGAGGACAACTTCGTTCTCATTTGCTCTAAGTCAATCCCTCCAAACTCAAATTCCAGCACAATGAAGAGCTGGTCTTCCTCAAAAAAGTCAGGCCGGTCATTTGCAGACCCTTTGGTTGAGTTATAGCGATCCCAGGCTCTGAGGAGCAAGGGAGGGTAAGATCCTTGAACACAGTGCACTGAGTTCAACCCAATAAAGCCTTCTGTGCGGTTGCATACCTCATCAGACAAGAGGCTCAGCTCTTTGGAGATGATGATCTCTGGCAGGATTTCCTCGAAAGTTTTCTGATGGGCTCCATTGACTAAATCCGGTCCTTCGATAGCAATGATTTTTAGGGCTACGGGTGTGTTGTTAGCAATTGTTTGAAACACTTCGCCAAACACCCCTTCCCCAATCTTCTCACAGCATTCCAGTTTTTCTGTGGAAAGGCAATAGCTAAAGGGGATAGGACCTTCCTGATTGCATTCCCCATAAACCTTTTCAGCATCAGATGGCTTTTTGTTTGAGACATGTAGTGTCTTTAAGGGGGCTAGCAAATACATGGAAGAGGAGTGCCAAGGGGACAGGGCACTGTTTGTTCTGTTCGTGACAGGAGGGTTTGAATATTCTGATATGAGGGACCCGGAGAGAGAACTGTCAATGGTGTAGCTGCTGCACACTTCTGACACAGTGGTCACCATCTTCTTCTTATGCAAACTGAAGGAAGCCCTGGCTTTGGTCCAAGAGCAGGCATTCTGTAAATGAGTCAGGTCCTGGGAGAGGAAAGAATCTTTTTCCATCTCTTGGCCCTCTTTAAACTGGTGGTAATGGAGGAGGGAGGTGTCCACTGTCTCCTGATGTTTCCTTTTCTGGCTTGGTCGAGTTCTCTCAGGTCTGTTGAATTCCCCAGGTACAATACAGCCCTTGCCACCACTGGCCTCCTCATAGTCTATCTGGACAGCCCCGTGAGACCCAATCTCTTGACAAGAGTCCTGGTCTGTGGCCCTCTTCTTACCGATGCTTGATAAACCTGGGCCCTCCAGCCTCTTCCCCACCAGTTCCCTTTCACGGCAGGACTCCCTCATATTCTTACCATCTGCCCCAAACTCAGAATCCTCAGGGTTTCCTGAGTCCACAAGGCTCAAGAGAGCTGACCTGAGGCTGGCACGGGCCTGGCGGGCCAACCTGGCGAACCTGCCTCCTCCTGCTGCTGCCTCCGGGGAGCAGGGTAGAGGTGTGTGGTCCAGGGAGTCTGCTGGGAGGTGGAGGCCGCTGGCTTCAGAGGCTGCGTCCAGAGAGGCGGAGGGAACGGCACTGACGACACTGTCTCCTGGCGCTGGGGACCCAGGGCCGGGGCCGGGGGAGGCCGGAGAGCTGAACAGGGAGGCGCTGGTGCCCAGCTCGCGACCGTCCCCGGGCCGGCCGCACGCACTGAAGAAGGGCGGCGGCCGGAGCGGGCCGCAGGGGGTGCTGCACTTCTGCGGGGGCCGAGCTCGCAGCCTCAGGCGTCGTGGGGTCGCGATCTGGCTCGGGCCGTCCGTGCAGGTTCGCCGGCCAGCGCGCCTCCGCCGCGGACGCACCGGGCTGCCGGGGAAGTCGGGGTCGTCAGGGTTGTCGGAGGCCACAGACCTTGAGTGGCCTCCGCCGCTGGTGTCGGTGCTACTGCTGCTGCTGAAGAAACGCTTCTGGTCTTGCGGCGGGAACCACTGCGCGGCTGCGCGGCCCGGCCGCTGCCGCGGCCCCCCGCCGCCGGCAGCCCCATACGTTCGGAAGAGCCGGTTCTTGGGTCGCGGCAGTGACGCCGCCATAGCCGGCACCCGCCAAGCCGTTCAAATGCAAACACCGCGAGACTGCCTGGAGACGCGGACGCGCCCGCCTGCCGGCCTGCCTACCCGCCGGGTCCTAGCGCCCGGCCTTGCGCCTGCGCATCACGACGAGGCTCGCTGCCGCATGGAGGGCGGTTAACCACAGCGGCGTGGTTTTCTCATTGGGTCGCGGGCATGGCTCTCGTTTCAGGCTTACACGGTGTGTAACCAGAGTCAAGAGCGCGCTTGTGGGAGCGATCCGGTTCAGGTGAGCGGGCCGTCCCGAGAGGCCGAGGGAGGGAGGAGGGGCCTGTAGCGGGTGACGCGAGACGCCTGGGTACCACTTTTCCGAGGTTTCCTCTGAAAGCACATGCAGGGCGGCCCCAAGGCCCCTCCTTAGCCTCTTCACTGGGTCACGTTTGCCGAAATTACGTCTTCGCTTGAGCCAGGGTGAGAGCTGAAACTGCTCACATCCTCTATTCTGGGACCTTAAGCTGCTCTGTGGGCTAAGTGTTAAACCTTCCAGCTTTTCCACGCGACAAGGTGTTAGCGCGCAAAGAGCACGATCTGCTCGTTACAAGACAAAAGCCGATCCGTCAAGAGGCAAGATGGTGGTAGAGAAAGGGCTTTTATTAAGCGATGAGCTAGCTGATCGGAACATGGTGGACTAGCGTCCTAAAGAACCATCTTGGAGGGGTACAGAATCTTGAAGCAAATATGTAGGGCTAGTGGGCTACAGAGGAGGGGGTCAGGAATGTTGACCCCCTGGCGTTGCAGACCGGGAGTCACCACACCAGACCTTTCAGCTGTCATCAATGATGGATACCAGTATAGACTCTCTGTCCCAGGGTCGTTTTATTCCTAAGGAATCCAAAAGAACAAAGTTATCATCTTACTGCAGCTGGGCGGTACATACGCAAGCAGGGGCCCTAAAATCTACAGAGCATATATGTCTCCTGGAGGGTGCATATCCAGCTGGGTTAGTTAATCAGAGGTCATTCAAAGTTACAATATGGCTTCCTTTCTGTAATATGGCTTCCCTTATGTGAGCCTTGTATTGAGCTGGTTTCAAAGGCGTTGACTAACTAGACTTTCCTTTTCCAGCGTGTGGAAGAATGGCATTCAGTAAGCTGTGCCATCACTTCGAATAAAGAAAATGTCACCGTGGCTGCAGAGCTCTTCTTGAGTCAGTCCAAGCAGGTACTTGAGACTGTGAAATGCTCCAGATTAGTTGTCTTGCTGCTGACAGGCATCTCCTCTAGAAGAGATAATAGCATCTCAAATAGAACAGTGCAAAACAGGTCTCATGGTCCACCTTCTGACCCAGCCTGTTCCTTACCCAGTTACTCAGGGTAACTTACTCCACTTACTTACTAGGAATTCTAGGAATTACTTGTGACTCCTCACTTTCCTACATCCTCATGTCTATTCCAGCAGCCAGCTCTGTCATTCCACCCCCAAAATATATCCTAATCCATTCACTTCTCTGCATCTCCACTGCTACAGTTGTAGTTCCAGCCACCATCTTTTCCCCGGGCTATTACATTAACCTTCTGTCTCCTCTTCCTGCCTCTGATCTTGCCATGCCCTCTACAGACGTTATTCACATAACATCTGTCTTTTAAAAGCAAACGTTGCGCCACTCCTCTGCTTAAAAAAAACAAAAAAAGTGGCTTTTGAATACACTTAAACTAAAATCCGTGCTTTTTCGATGGCCTGCAAGGCACTGCATGATCTGATCTGCGCTTACCTCTTCAACTTCATTCCTAGTTCTCTCCTCTTCCCTGATTCTTATACTCCAGCTTTTCTGTCCTTTCTGCCCCTCCAGCTTGCCAATATTGTTCTGGCCACCGGACCTTTGTACTTGCTGTTTCTTCTTCATGACGCTGCTCTTCCCCCAGAGCTTCATGTGTGTGGTTTCTTCATATGTTGAACTCAGATGTTGCCTTCTTAGAGAGGTCTTTCCCGATCACTCATTCAAAGGTGGGAACTGTGATCTAGGTTAACGCCTTGCAGTGATCCAGGTGAGAATGATGAGATGTGAACTGAAGAAGTAGCAATGGGCATAGAGAAAAAGGAACAGATGCAAGAGAGACTAAAAAATAAAGGAATTGTCAAGAACTGACTTGGGGCCAGTGGGTGGGTGGGGGAGTGACACAAGGTAAAGGGTAAGGGAAAGGAAGCTGGGGAATGACTGCAGGTTTCTTGCTTGGGTAACTTCATGGTTGCTGAGGCCATTAACTAGGCTGAGGAATACGGGAGAAGGAATACGGGAGAAGGAAGACGCTCAAGGGAAGGCTGGTGAGTGCTGTCCAAAAACAGTAACTCCACGTCTAAAGAATCTTTCATCCCCCCTTCCCCCCATCTTTTAGTTACTAAGAGATGTAACTGAACTGCAGATCCTTGGTGAACTGTCTTTCAACAAATCCCTATATGAGGGGCTGAATGCAGAGAACCACAGAACTAAGGTAATCCCTGGCTGTTGTCTGGTTTTCTGGGTAGTGTCCTGGGAAAACTGTGCCTAGCCTTCGAGCCCCTGTACAGGCTGTCTGCTGCTGCTCTCCTCCTGTTTTCAGTCTTATCACCTCTGATGTTGACTCTGCCGCCAACTGCCTTAGTCAGCTTCTGCCTCAGTTTTTCTGTCTGTGAAATGAGGCAATTGAATAAGAGGTCTAAGCTGAGAAAGTCTAAGCTGAAATAACTAGGCTGGAATCAAGAGCTAGATATACTTTGATTTGAAAATGTATTTTTTTTTAGCTTTTTTTTTTTTTTGTGAGGAAGATCAGCCCTGAGCTAACATCCATGCCAATCCTCCTCTTTTTGCTGAGGAAGACTGGCTCTGAGCTAACATCTATTGCCAATTCTCCTCCTTTTTTTCCTCCCCCAAAGCCCCAGTAGATAGTTGTATGCCATAGTTGCGCATCCTTCTAGTTGCTGTATGTGAGACGCGGCCTCAGCATGGCCAGAGAAATGGTGCGTTGGTGCGCGCCCGGGATCTGAACCCGGGCCGCCAGTAGCGGAGTGTGCGCACTTAACCGCTAAGCCACGGGGCCGGCCCCCTGTATTGTTTTTTAAAATTTCCTAAGTGAGAAAATTTTTTTGGTATACATTAACTCTCTTCCTAGCGTGTAGTATCAATGTTTAGTTACAATAGTAAGTGGTTACAGTACTCTGTAATGCACAATTATAAGTCTTAGACTAAGTATTAGAACTCCTGGGATTCTTTTTGCAGAAGTATGACCACAAGTCAAACTGACATCTGTGATCCCTGAGCTAAATGCTGCGTGTGCTACCCCAAGTTGTCATTCTTGTTGACGCTCGCCTGGACGTGCTGCTGGCGTCAGAGAGGACCCATCTGTGAGCTCTTTAGTTAGGCATGATCATTACTGGGAGAATGTCAAGCACATGAGACTGGATTGCTAAGTATTAGGTCCTCTGATTTCCTCCCTGGAGGAGGAGAAAGGAGCAGTTCTCTAGACATGTCAGAAATAATATTTTCTTTTATTTTTAAGTATTTCTAATACAGAACATGATATGGAAGAAAGAGAAATGCCCCTATTATCCCACTGCTCAGATTTTTTAAAGATAGAAGTAATAGCAAGAAAATCCAAGCCTTATGGAAAGATGCCAAATGAAAAATAATGGTTCCTTCACTCCCCTCTTCCCATGCTCCCAATTCCCTCTTCCCAAAGGAGTTACTGTTAGCAGTTTCTTATATGCACATTCTTAAATAACTTATGTATGTATTTCCCCCTCTTACTTACTGATGCTTTTATTTCTGTAGCATAGATTCCCCATAATTATTTTCCTCTCTTTAAATTCAATACCTTAAGCAAAGTATTAAGTAGTTTCTGACACTAAGCACCTGACTTACAATGAACCTGTAAGTATAAACAACCATGCGTCCAAGTGCATTTCAGCTGCGAGAAAGGGAAGACTCCCGCTACTGTACCATAGAGGCGTCTGTTGCTTGTCTAGTGAGGGAGGCAGACCAGGGTGAACGGCCTGGCCCCTTTGAATCTTATGCTCTACCATCTGTGTGGTGGTGATGCCGTCCCTTGTGGCCAGCACAGAGTTATCACCTCTCCCAGTGCTGTATTTTCACGTGGCGGAATACAAAATAGAAGCAAGAGGTCAGTAGCAAAAGGATTTTTTCTTCACGTGCCTTCCCTTTCCAGGGAGGAAAATTTTCCTGAAATCTCCCCGCAGACATCTCCTTGCATCTTATAAGTGAGAACTGGGTCTCATGTCCGTCACTGGCAAAGGGGAATGAATAGCTTTGTCATGATTAGCTTAGAGCCGTCGTGGCTGCTGAACAAAATCTGACAGGAGAGCGTGGCTGTTGGGCAGGCACTGTCCGTGTTTGCTACAAGCGGTGACATCCTGTGTCCTGCTTCTCCCTTGTCCTCTCCTGGAGCAGCTGTGGGGCGCTTGAGGAATCTGTGGGTTTAGAAGAAGAAAAAAGGAAGAGGCTTTGAGAAATAGGAGCATTTCGTCCGCTCAGATCTGGCCTGTACACCACGATCACCTTGAGACTTCCTTTCGTTGCTTTCCTGAAGCCGGGTCTCAAGCAACCTTAACTTAATTGGAAGAGGCTTTGAAGGTAAATTTGTCCAGCATTCCACCCCATACAGAAATTCTCTCCAAAGCAACCTGACCTTAGTGCTTAAACACTTGCATGGAGGGAACTCAGTGTTTTGGGCAGGCAGAGAAGTCTTGATGGCCCTCTGGCCCCACTGAAGTCCTGGGAACATGCTCCAGCCATGGTCTGTATGCTGGCCACCACTTGGGAGGGCCATATCTGGGTCTCCCCTGGGAAGCACATCCTCTGAGCCTTCCAGCTGAGTCCTGTCAGTGCGAAGAGAGATCAGACTCCTGAAATTGAGAGAACCTTTAGACAGCGTGCTGGGGATGTCTTCTCGTGGCAGAGCTCCACAAGTAGCACACACGGGTGCCATTTTGCATTTATCATCGTGTCTCTGAGGTAACGCTCGTTAGTCTGGTGAAGAGCAGACCGGTATCTTTGTCGTATATTTCACATGGGAAAAATGTATTATCAGACTTGAGGAATTTGTGCAAGATCGTAAAGAGCTGTCAGAACAGAGTTGGAAAGGACTTAGTGATCATTTAAAATGGGTCATCGTTTTGAAGATGATGAGCTTGGGGCTCAAGGACGTATAGTGGCACAGCTGGATGTAGAATCTTGATTTTTCTCTTTCAGTGTTCTTTAAAATCTAGAGACCTTAATTCCTTGGGACCCTCTGTTAAACTGTCAGAGAATCCTTAACAGAAGGTCACAATCTCCTGACAGACTTAGCTCTTCTAGATAAGAGACCAAAATAGTTTCTGTAAAGTATTTTGGTCACTAGATAATTTTATTGTGCTTTTTTTTTTCCCTTCAGTTTTTGTTCTCTTTGCTTTTTGAGGATTCTATTGAACTATCTAGCTCAGAGATTTCTTTCCTCAGCCCTCTCCAGTCTACTAATGAGCCCATGAAAGGCATTCTTCATTTCTCTTACAGTGTTTTTGATCTCTAGCATCTCTTTTGGGTTCTTTCTTAGGATTTCCATCTCTCCGCTTACATTGCCCATCTGTTCTTGCATGCTGTCTACTTTATCCGTCAGAGCCCTTAGCATATTAATCAAAGTTACTTTAAATTTCTGGTCTGATAATTCCAACATCCTTGCTGTGTCTGGTTCTGATGCTTGCTCTGTCTTTTCAAATTGTGTTTTTTGCCTTTAGGTACTCCTGGTAATTTTTTCTTGATAGCTGGATCTAAGGTACCAGGTAAAAAGAACTGCTGTCAGTAGGCTTTTAGTAAATAGGCTTTAGTAATGTGGTGAGGTGTAGGGGAGGGGAAGTACTCTCTTATCCTGTGATTAGGTGTCAGTCTTTTAATGAGCCAATGCCTCTGTTCTGTGATCTTCACAGCTGTTTCTCAGTTTTTTCAATCCCCTTAGGTGGGACAAGGTGGCTGGATTGGGCTAAAGTTGGGTATTTCCCTTCCCCCAGGTCAGTTAGGCTCTGATAATACCTCAGCAGGTTAGGCCCTGGTTAAGTAGTTCTTTCTGAGGACAGGCCTTGTTAAGAAGAAGGAGTGCTCTGGTTTACTTCAAAATGGTTCCTTTTCCCCTCCCCCTGTGGGAAGCATGAAGGGATCTTCCTCCAGTGTTTGCTGTGGGAACCTGGTTGAGCTCCTGGAGGTAAATCTCACAGTGTTGGGGGGCCCCCCGATGCCTGGGTTCCCCGGAGTGTTTAACTCTCAGACTTGTCGACACTGAGCTTCTGGCAGTTCCTCAGTTATAGGTCAGGTTCTCCCACCCCCGCCTTGGTAAGCCTCTGCTCTCTGTCCGTCTGTCTGTCTCTCCAGTCTTGGGGGCAGCAGTTTGCCTTGGGTCCTCCCCTCTTAGGGATCCAAGACGAGTTGTTGACTTTTCAGTCTGTTCAGCTTTTTACTTGTTAGCATGGAGTGGTGACTTCCAAGTTCCTTACACATGGAACTGGAAACCGACAGTCTCATTAGATAATTTCAGATGCCGCAGCGGGAAGTGTGCAGCTTTCTGCTTTACTGTCATCAGTCTTGATTAATACACAGAACGTTGCCAAGTTCTCGTATTTTGCTCCTTAAAATAACATGGAGTTTTTTTTCATTTGCTATACCTGACTTATTGGGTGATCTCTTTGTCTTGTTCCAGATCACTGTCATCTTCCTGAAAGATGAGGAGTATTACTCTTTGCCTGTCATCATTGGAAGCAGTGTTGGTGGCCTTCTGGTTTTGATTGTGATTATAGTCATCCTGTTCAAGGTCGGTTCTGCTCCTGTTCCTCAAGGCTCTGGTGTTGCGCACAGTACTCCCTAGGCCACCAGCCCCTGGTTTAGAGCAGCTCTCCGGGCCTTGTGGCCACGTTTCCCTCTTCCTTCAACCACAACCTGTTTAGGCAAACGAGTAAACAGTTTCTGTCAGAAAAAGATAAAAATCTAATAGAAGTATTGGAGTACAGAGAGATTTTCCTAAAACAGATCTGATTGTGTTCCCGCATTTAAATCCTTTACTTTCCTTCCCCTGTTTTAATGTTCAGACTCTTTCACTGCTATTCAAGACCCTCTGGGGGCCGGCCCCGTGGCTTAGTGGTTTAGTGCGCGCCCTCCGCTGCTGGCGGCCCGGGTTCGGATCCCGGGTGCACACCGACGCACCGCTTCTC